TGAACACAATCCAGAGGTAGATATCTCATTTTGCAAAAATAGCATCTGTTTTTCAACATCTGTATAAAAGTTGTGGCACAAATCCTATGAATTCTAGTTTTGGTATCGAGTTTTATTTGATATTCTGTCATAAAGTGTAAGCCATTTTAATTAGAGTTCCTCCAAAATAACACTGCATTAAGATTTCATTAGGATTTTTCTTCGGTTTTGATGAGAAACATGTCAGAATAACAGAGTTCAACAGTTAAAGACAAGTAAGTAAAAGACAATTCTTAATGCCAAAACTGTTACACTAACATGTTCATTGTGCAGTCCTTAGCTAGTAAGTAGATGTAAAGAATATGCCAAAGCCATCACTGAAGAAATTTTGACCAACCAGATATTTGAATTCTCTGGATTCTGCCTTGCTCACAAAAAAATGAAAAGCCATTTTGATGACAAAGGGGTGTGTAAAATTTCACTAATTACAAGTGTATGGCTATCTGATCCATAGAAGGCAAAGTTAGCCTTTAGTTAAGAACCTTTTAGCCAAACAAAATGATAGGAACTGAATTTACTACAGCATCAAACTCTAGCATTGTAGACTAGCTAGGTTACTAGACTGTATTCTAGCACAGAAGATGACACTTCTGAAAAGGGTAAGAATACTAGAATCTGATCCTTGAATACTTCTGTATTTCTTTATTCTAACTCTAGTCTCTCAGCTCAGAAAAACCACCATCATGAGAATGTGTCAGTTAACTTTATTAAAATACAACTATCAAACTATCATGGGGAAAAAAATCACAGATTAATATATTTCAAGCAAAAAAAAAAAAATCAAGGAAAGAAAATGTGGTTCACAGACTATTAGACCATTTTACCTATATTACTCTATCCTTGCAATAATCAGTTGTAGATTGAATTAAATAGAGAAGTTTTTCTAAGTTTCTGATCAGTGAGAACATTTAAAATCCTCAGTCACTGAAAACATCAGAATATTTTCAAGATGGAGATTCTTTGTATTGATTTGAAACATTCTTGGAAATAATTTTTCACTAAGTAATTAGTGGGAGAAAAAGATAAAGGTAGATTTCTACAGGAATTGTTGTGAAAAGGTGATAGGAAACTACGAAAACCACTTAAAGAGGAAATAAACAAATAAAACCTCACTGGGCTGTGTTCAGATGTCTAGCTGTCAAGCTTTGAGTGGCACAGTTGGTAGATTAAACAGCCAGGATTCTGAGGATGTGAACGTAATACTTATCCTGTAGCTAACGGTGCAGGAAGAGCTGATGGACACATCTTTTCTAGGTACAAAGGGCTATATTGCCCAGTGCAGAGGGCTTTGCTTTTTCTACACAGATAAACAGATACAGATTTTCAGAGACCTGTGTGTCAGCAGGAAAGAAGAAAGCAGTGAGTGTAGGTCAGTTGTCAGGCTAGCCAGCAGACCAGCCTACCCTGTGTAAGATTTTAGCAAAGTAAATCTTCCTCTCATTTTTACTTTTTGCCTGAGATCTACTAGAGAAAGCAATAAGACAACTAACAGAGATCATTTCATTGTCTATCTGGCAAGCACCACAGTAATCCTAAATTATACAGTCATGCATTACACTCAAGCATAAAAATAAAACCAACCTTCCATGTCATCCATTAAGATATTCTGGAGCAGCACTTACATTCCTCAGCCACTACCAGTCTTTATAAACCGATTACATCATCTCGCAAGACTGGAATTACATTTTCAGTAGTTGAGGTTTGACAGGAATGTTTATGGTACTTTCTACATTTAATTTCCCAGACTAATATGTGGCAGAGTAAAGGTTGAGAATCCAGTCCCAGGAAATGCTGGGACATGATTGGAAGTTCTCTTTTAACTCTTTATGTCTGTATTTTTAGCTTGAAATGTGCATTCTTTGCACAGTTCTTTTGATTGAAATAATGCACCTCAGAACTACACATGGCTCAAGAATTTTGCCAGAGCCTTATGCACCATAAACTCAAACATGAGTTAAAACACAATACAGCAATCAGCAACAATCTTAACTAGGATAAATCTTGTAGAGTCATGGTCTGAGGATTTATCTGTTACAAGGAGTTTGTTTGCTCTGGCAAAGCAAACTATATGAAGTATTTGTATAGACTGGCAAGTAGAGGCAAGCATTATGACAGTCAACACAGCATATATTTAGATGGGCATGGTAGGAGGAGATCAATACTGAGAGCCACAGCTCAAAATTTTTTTTTTTAAATTACAAGATTTTAATTATGAGTAAAAGAAAGAGGAAGGAGGACAGATCAGAATTAGAAGAGGTTTTCCCAAAAAAAGATTTGAGTTCCTGAAATGCTAATTAATTTTATTTCATTAGAATTTATAATTCATTAGAACCCAATTTTATTAGATTTTGAAGCCCATCAACAGTTGAGTTATTGCAAGAATAGAGTAAAAGTAGTTTTGATGAAAACTAATGAATTATTACAAAAGCAGCTTCAAACCAAGACCCCTGTGATTAAGGCGAAGGGAAAGGGGAGAGAGAAATAAAATCCAGAGCTACTACTAGGCAGGAGGCAAGTACCCAGACAGGTGAAGTCAAAACATTGGAAACTAATGCAGTAATATTGTTCTATCACCTGCTTTGGTTTCAGGTATAAAATCCTCAGCCCATCCTCAAATCCTTTTCTGTGTCTTTAGCACAATACTTCAAATCCCCCTAGAACCAAACTTGAAAAAAACTGTTCATAGCCTCAAATTCATTATTTTGGGTTCAGGCAACTCAACTTCCCCAACATTTCACTAGCAGAGAGGGATTAAAACATCATGATTTATCAATTCAGAGAAGTTTGTTTTTTCTTGTACAAATCAATGGGAAAATTCCATAGGAGGAAGCCCATGTTTAGAAGAAAACTGCCTTGCTATTCACAGAAGGAACATCTTCATTTGGCTCCTTTTTTTATTTCTCTTTAGTTCCATGCATTAACATGCCATGGTGAAAGCAAAACTATCCTGAATTTCTGTAGTGTATTTATATGCTCTTAGAAAGCACAGTGTAGCTATATCCCTACTCTTGCTGGGAGTCTCTGGTATTGCTGTAACTTCCCATCCTTCTGCCCCAAGAGCACATTTTTACAACAGGTAAGTGGATGAAGGACTGTACAGGGAAATCGCCAGAGGGTCAGTCCTGCCTTGCCCTTGCGATAGGAGTCATGTGCTGCTTATGTAGGCAATGCAATGGTTTTACTCCACCAAATCCCTATTTACCATTCATATCACAGAACATTTTGAGCTCAGCTTGAGAAAGTGTGGCTTGAGCATTTTTTTTATGAAGTTCATAACTAATGACTAGGAAGGACAATTTCAGTTTTCGTTTGTGTTAATTTTGCCCTTGCTGTTAGAATATCAATAGAAATGTTCTTCTAATAATTTCCTGTGGGCTTGGTCTTTCCTAGGCTTTGTTCCTTTTTGCTCCCACAGGCTCTTTGTCTGATGGCATTGTAAAGACAGATGACTCCCTGAAGGTTGTGATCTGACTTTTAATCTATCTGTTTCAGGAGAAAGAAAAACTGTTTTGTTCAGCCCTACATTGCAGAAGCATAGCAAGGACAGTAAGAGTTTCAATTGTACTCCCAAGCAGCTAGTTGCCACTGAAACAGTTCTTAAAGTATCCGCAGATCTTCTGTTCCCTCCACATCATTTCATCTTAAGTCATTTTGAGCTTCCATCCTTGTGCATCCTGACAGTCTTATTTTCCTAACTGTTGTAATCCTCATTAGGAGGACGCAAAGGAGGCAGAGTTGGTAAAGGTTTTCATGGTTCTGCTCTATCCACATCCCATCTCACATGACTACATTCCAGAGCTGCATCCGGCCCAGACTTTTTGAAAAGAATTTATATCTCACATTCATTTTTTACCAGTTGTACAGTACCACAGGAAAGAATTCCTCCTGTTTAGAGTTTCATTTTGAAGTTCTCTCATAATGCTCCCTTGTCCTGGACTGCCAGGATTGTACAGGAAAGCAAGGACATCTTTCTATTCAAGGATTTCTTTTTCCTTCAATTCTCCACTTCTCATTTCTGCTTTATTTTATTTTCACTTAAACTCCTCTGCCCTTCATCTTCATCATCAGCCACTCTATTGCCAAAATAGTGAATGAGATATCCACTTTTTAAGTTGAAAGCAAGCAGGTGAGGTTCATTCATGTAAATTCTGCAGAGACCTTTTGGCCCATAGTATCGTGATATGAAAGGGGAAGCAGAGATAGATAGAAACTTCCATCTCTCTAACCAGACACTTTCTGTATCTTTTTAAGTCATTCAGTGATTTACAATGCCAACAAGAACCAGAGTTCTTCTAGAAAGTCAACACATGTTTCTCTGTGGTCTTGGCTTTTATTGAATTAACATGAACAACTTAGTTGAGAGAATGTGAAAAGACTCAGGTTGATAGTAAATTCAGCAGGAATTGATGAAATTTAGTTTTCATGTGCTCACCTATTGCATTTTTTGTGAGTTTCAGTTTTCATTTCATTTTACACCCTCTCTGGAAATAGTAGGCTTTTTTGTAACACCAGGTATCTTCTTGGCTGTTGCCTACTGTATTAATGTTCCTTCACATTAAAATTCTCTGACAATAATCCACATAAATATCCCTTTTGTAGGTTTTAAAAAGCTCATTAATAATACATTTTAATCATTTAGTAAACCTCTCAGTATCCATGCTAATTTTTATATATAAAAACAGTTCATTGTGTTTATACTACTGGTATTAGATAACTTGTTGCCTTGGTAATGGAGAATCTGCTTTTTTGCCTTAACCATTAGTGCCTTCTCCAGAAAAAGGCAGAAAACACATTAAGTAGCCTCCTAATTTTACCTTTAGGCTCACATCTTAAAAGCAAACAGAAGCCAAGATTTTCATTTCAAAATAGTCTGAAGACTTTAATTTTCATAGCCTGTCTGAACACAGAAAGCCTTATGTGGATATTAAATATATATATTCCATATATATATACGGCATATATATATATACGCCTTCCTTGATAGACATATACTACTGAGCAGTCAGTTCTTAGTCAAGCGCCTGCTTCTCTTCTTCCTCTTTGCCCTGAATGTAACAGATCTACAAAGCCAAAAAAAAAAAAAGAAAAAAAATCACAGGCAGAGTTATTTTTAGGAGTCACGTGACTAGAACTTGGAGGAAAAAAATAGCACAGTTATTGAATATACTTACTGTGATGCATCTTGGAAGAGAACCTTGGGAGTGAATCAGTTCTTTCTTTTAGAGGTACAGCTAGGAAAAATGCAGAAATAGGATTTAACACATGACAGAAACCCAAGAGGCTTGCTGTAAAATGCCTCAGTTCCATAGCTGTATCTCTCTGAAAGGAAACATGACAGTGATATATAGAAGTACATAGGGGAGGAAATAAATTTACCCTTAACTAACAATTTTTCAATTACCACTTTTATTTTAACACAACATTACAGATCATAGAGGAGCAGAAAAAACACCAGACTAAGTATCTCAGGAAACATAAATATTTTGGTAGACTGATCTCTGTAATAAAAGTGATAAGAGGAGACAACCCCACTCTCCTTTGCTTTGTAGACAGAGCGAGGTCAACAGATATCAGACTGTATAAATCAAAACCACAGTGGCTTGCTTCATGCTATTTTATGCTTTCTTTATCACACGAAAGCTTAGAAGCATAACTGTTTTATAAATTTAGAAGCAGAAGGAAAAAGGAGGAGGGGAGTTGAATTCTTAGATAAAGATGTGGGAAGTTTTACCAAATTGCAAACTCTTCAACCTCTCAAAATATCAATGATGCATAGGTGTTGAATAAAATCACTGCTGGAAATTCACTTGCATTTTTAGACTAGCTAGTCTATGGATTTGTACAGTGATGGTTATATGCCAGTTGGTCACAGGAGGAAAAAGGAGGAACGAATACAGACAAGGGTAATAAGGGTAATAGGAAAGTAACAATTATTCTATCTGTTCTGGTTCTGAGTCTACTGAGATTTCAGAGACAATTTTTCATTAATTCTTGAAGAATCAAGATCTAGAAAATCCTCTTTTTTCCCCCTCTATTCCTTCAGTTGTTCCAAGCAGAGAAGAGATGGAAGTAATTCAAACTGGCAGCTGCAGGCAAATTTAGTGGTAAAAATAGGAACTAAGAGCTTGGAGCTGTTTCACAAGATCATTTCTGTAGCAGTAAAGGTTCTGTTTAAACAGAGCTAACCAGAACTTTAATTCAGTGGATGCATTCTAGAAGCAAAGATTTCAATAAGTGAATTTGTAGTAAAGGCTATATGTCCAACATTGTTACAAAGTCTTTGTCTTGCGACACCCAGGTTTGGGAAAATATACAAATTAATCCATTTCCCTCTAGTCCAAAGGCTGCCCTTTCAATTCCCCCCTGCCCATGAGGAGGAATCACAACAGATGAGAACTCAGTAGCCCAGACAGTTCAAGTGTACCAGAAATTCAACACAAAAAATATTATTTTATGAATATTTTTTGATCATCTCTGCTAAACAGAAAGAGAAGGACACTGTGGATAGAACTGTATTAAGCACCAAGCCCCAGAAGACATTGACTGCAAGGAGCTTTTGCGCACGCAGACAAGGCAGCAAATTTGGGCAGCATAGGCAGGAATGTGCTTTGGGTGTACACCAGAGAGCCCCAAGGCTAGGGAAAGAGCAAAGCATAAACAGCAGGTCACACACAACCGCAGACATCCACGTGCTGATGCCACACACACAGCTGTTTGCAAACAGCTTTATGCTTTGATTCTGCCCAACACATGAGCAGCTGCGCACCAGGGACAGAGGCAATATGGAGCCTTCGTTCCTGCTGTCCCTTCCTCACTCAGGTGCCTGGCTGAGCAGCCACCAGCCTCCTAATTACTCCCCTTGGGACACCAAGTCAGCCACAGAGTAAAATGGGAATCTTGCTAGAGAGTAAGATGGATGAAACCCTTCTCTCACTGGCTCCACTAAAGCAGCTGGCTTCTTACAGGAGCTAAAATTTGGCTGCTTGCCCTGCTGCTTCCTCAGCTCCAGGCTCAGCCTAGCTGGACTGCGAGTGGCACTTGGGCTGGCAAATTTAAAGCGCATCTTGAGATGCCACCTCAATGGCCCTGAATTCATCCACTGGTCTGCTAACACTTTTGAGTACTGCGATGCCTCTGGCTGCAAGGGAGGATTTTAAGGCTGTGACATGACAGCTCCCACTCTTTGGAGCATGCCCGAGAGGAGCAATCTCGCCTTTAAATCCTTATGCGCTTGCAGCATTTTGTTATAATAAATGCATTATTATACTGGCTAGAAGCATCGCTAGGGAAGCTGAGTAACATGCATCACAAAATGAGTTTTCCACTATACGAAAAAGATAAATCCAATCATATCTGTTAAAGTGAATAAGTAAGTGAGAGCAGGTGAACACAGGATAGAAGGGCACTACCAGCATTACTAAGCTCAGAATCTGAATAACTGCAAATACTATCTGCAGATGACAAAAAAAAATTCTCAAGTTAAAAAAAAAAAAAAAAGTGGTATGTTCCTAGAGTTCCTACTATAAGAAACGCACATAATTAATTATACTTTAATCCTTGACCTACTTTATGTCAGCAAGCCACAACTGCTTATGTTCAAACTAGGCAGAGAAGTAAAATTAATGCTGCGTCAGCTCCCAGGGTGAAAACACTATGTTGATGTCACCGCCACCAAAAGTCTAATCATTTCCCGAGGCTAAAGCCAGGAGGAAGGTTAACTGTGATCTGTTCTTATTAATCAGAGCCCTCAGAATTAGAAACGCATGGGTTTGCATCAGAAAAACCTAGCAGTCATCTTCAAGCCTGCTCCTAGAGTTGCTTAAGTGGTTTCTAGATAGTTCTAGATAGTCCTAGGACTAGATAGTCCTGCCTCGGGATTCCCCAGTGCAAGAGTTGGAAATATGGGACCAACATTGGAGAATATGAGTTAGGACCAAGGATGCATCACTGTAGACATTAATCCTGAGGCTACATGGCAGAGCACAAAAAAACATCTTCACTGGTCTTTGTTCAAATCATCTAATGGGAACAGTTCAGACCCAGGGGAACCTGTACTGCACTGGTGTCGAGAGCAGCTGCATCCCAGAATGGGACATGGCTTTATTCCTCAGAATCACAAAAGGAAGCAGTGTAAAGGGTTTCCTGCACTGCTACAGTCATCAGATCAAGCTGCTGTACATAGTGTTGGATCACTATCAAACAAAAGACAAGCATGAGGACAATAATTCACATTAATACTCCTATCAAGAAGTTGGGACGATTGGGCATTCTGCTCTTGCTACATTCATCATCTTTTTGCAGTTTATGGACCACCTTGAAGTTTCCCTCAGTAATCACTTGGTTTTTGAGGAAAAAAGGGACCCTCTGTTATTTGTCTTTTGTTATATTTCTTTCTGTCACCAAAACCAAGAGCAGGCTGTTAATAATAAAGGCCTAATAATATATTGAGGGATCTTTTAGATAATGAGAAATGTTTCATAAAAAAAACACAGTATCTTGAACCATTTTACAATTTGGTTGTCCTTATCTGCTCTAGGGAGTAATAACACCATATGAAGAGAAAAAAAATGGCAGTTAGAACCATTTCTCATATTGTCCTTTAGCCACATGGGCACACTACTTGTAGTAAGCCTTTTAACATTATCGTTCACTGTATAGCCTGACAAACAAATCTCTACATTTTACAGGCTTCTCTTTTTCATTGGCTCTTCCCAGTCTAAAAGCTAAAGCACAATAAAGGACTCGCAAGTTCTAGGTTTGTGACTGCACAGCAGACTGAGATTTTAGTCTTTCACATTTGGTGAATACAGTGCCAGAGGTCAGATACATGGCTTCTTAAGTGAGTGTCTACTCACAGGGCTTTGCATATCCATTTACATCAAGTATAATCATATTTTTTTGCTTTATATAAAAAAAAAGTTTCAATGCATAAAGACAGGTGGATGAAAATGGGGTATGTAGCTGGTTGCATTTAATGAGTTTAATTTGGGTGTAAATTTCGACGAATTTCAAGTAAAATAGTTCATATCCTAGACTGACCTTTTCTCTCCCTGTCCCCCTCTTTAAAAAAAAAAAAAGTCCAAAAAATAAGTAGCTAAAACAGTATTAAAGTTAAGGAAATTTGCAACTTTGTGCAACAGCTAATGAAGCATTAAGGTTCATTTTTAAACATCTAGAAACCAGCAACAGGCAACTGAAGCTGAGCTCCATTTCCTCACGCTCAGTACAAAAGATAATTTAACATGAAGTTTTTACAAAGTTTCATGACCGGAGTAATTGGATGAGTTTATTTTTCTGTGGGATTATTTTTCCTCTTCCTCCCTGCTGAAAAAGAGGCTCTTTGGCCATCAAAAGGACTCCAATGTCTCACCATCACTCCAGTGGAGTCCCCAATGTCTCACTGGAGCAATCCAGTGCTCTCACAGAGATCTTCGTTGTACCTTCTTCCACATGGCTAAATCTCTGCATCCCCATAGCCAGCATCAAACTGAGCTTGAGTGATCATATTTGTATAATTTATTTTTTTAAACAGTGAACTGAAAGAGTGTCCAGAATCAAGGTATGGTGAATTTTACATTCTAAAGCTGTCTCGGGAAGAAGCTTTCACTAAAATTTAGAATATGATCAGTTAAAAACAAAAAAAAAAATATTCATATACCACAAGATTTAGAATTGTTCATAACATCAGTTATGATGGACTTAGAATTTAAAAAGGATAAATTAGAAAATACCCAAACCCCTCCCCCTGCTGGAATGTTTCAAAGACATTTTCAATTTTACCATATATATTTTCCACTCATTTCTTGGTATATAGTTTGTGAAGACAGCTTTGGCTTTGGTGTAAGCCAAACAAACCTCAGACAATATCTAAAGCAGGAGTATTGAATCTGTCACCTTTGCTAACTTACCTATCTGTAAATTGCTGTAATTTCTCTGACTGCTTTGACAGTTTTCATATCAGCTTAAAAAGCAAAAGCAGAAAGGAAGAGATGGAAGAGACAGACAGACAGCAAAAGTTTTGTAGGTTTTTAGAAGAAAGTACACTACAGGAAAGAGCCAAGAAAGCCCACCTGGCATATGCAGAGGGGAGAATCCAAGAAAATATAATGCAAAGCCAGCACCAGAAGTCATGAATTCTGGTACCAGCACTTCTTACAGGCACTGCTAAGCTCTCCACCCACCACAGTCTCAATGAAATAAACAAAATTCAGATTACAAGTCATTCTATTCACCCCCTTACATTTGCTAGTTTTTCAGAGAGAAATGTCTAAAATTGTAACATGTTTCATTTGAAAAATAAGGCTAGAAACAGAAGCTGGCTGTTGTTTAATGCAACAGTCAATTAACAAGTTTGCCATGGGGATTTTTAGGCAAGAAAGGGCAAAAGTACCTTTACAAATAATGTAATTTTGCAACCTTTGCTATGCCTCCTTTACACTTGGACTACACACAGAAATTTCTAAGAAGCCCCAATAGCTGTGCAAGACTATGAATCACATTCTTTAAGCAGGGTTAAAAAAAAAAAAAAAAAAAGTGCATAACCTTGATTTTGAGGGTCAACATATTGGAATTAAAAAGGGCAATGCAGGACCACTGGTTTATCCATGTCAGGATGAGCTTTTCAAACAGAGCTGGAATGGCAAGGGCATGTCAAAGATCATGTATGAAGGATACACCACACATCTGTTGCGGGCAATTGATCACTCTCCCTAGCCATCTATTGCATTGCCCAAGAAGGAAAATTAAATAAAATTTAGCATTCAGAAAGTGATTTATGTCTACGTTTCATTCATTCCAATATCTTTGCTTAAACCATCAGCGAAGGGGAGTTGCTCTAAAAGGGCACTTAAACAGGAGATTTAGCAGGGCAGCTACAAATTGTTTTCTGTTGAGTCTATGTTGTTAGGAATAGCAATGTTTAGCAAAGGGGCAGCATCTCAGTGAGAAGGAGTAACACCTGCAACAACCACTACTAATTTTACCTGCAGATACATGTCAGAATCATGTGTTTTTCTAAGAGACTAGGGAACAGCTCAATTCTTCACATTTAACTTAGAAAGAAAATTTAATTAATTGAGGCTGTAATAAAAATCTCAGGTTAAATAAGCCTGAGTATAGACTGATTGTTTCATTAATAATTTCTCTCTAATGTTTTTTCCTCTAACTACCTCCAAACATCTCCTCTCCTCCTCAAGAGAGGAGCTTTAAGACTGATCCTCAGAGAAAATTACCTTCCTCTGGATGTTACCACTGATCTGTTGCCTGCTTTACCCAGACACAAGCAGATGGAAGCTAATCCTGTTTGATGGGGATTAAAAGTCACTCCTGCTGCCCAAAAGAGATTCCAGGCCCAAGTGAATGTACACAATTATATGGGTGCTGGGAATACCTCCTGCAGCCACTTTGCAATGATCAAAACAACTGTTTGAATTGAGAATCACATCTGAGAATTTCAAAAACAATAAAGATTTGTGAAACCTTTTATCAACTTTTTTTGTTGAATCAGATAGTGTATGAATATGAAAAGCAGAAAGAAGTAAAAATCTACTTTTAGAACTGTGTTGTATAGAGTTGTATTGATTACAGTTCATTAGAATAAATACTGGATTAAAAGATAAATTTTATATTTCTCCTTAATAAAGATTTCTTGAATAAAAGCTCAACACACACACAAAAAAAGAACTTATTTCATTAAAAATATAAGATTGTCATCAGAGAAAATGCTCCCATTTGAAACCTTTTGGGCTGGAGAAATATTCTTATTTTGTGGTTAATAACCTCCGTGCTGATATGATGCTATTTTCTAGCATATCTCACACACTTCCTTTTCCCTACAGAACTATACTATCTAAGTGAAAGTAAGATTTGTTATCCAACAACGTGACCAGAAAACTCTATTCAGAATGTACTTAGTTCTGGTTGCCAGTACAATTCCCTTTATCTGCTCTCAATCAATGAAAAGTATTTACAGCAGCTGTTATATGTCAAAAGCAGACTTCATGATTCACAAACTAGGGTAGAAAATATTGTTTACTAATATGTATATCAAAGCACTTTTTAAGTTTTAAAAAGCTAAAGGCAAGCTTAAAGGATGCAGTGCCAGTAGAGAAATACCATAAGAAGTACAGAGCTGGATATTACATAGTATCTGATTTTAATATTATTCTTGAAAAATATATATATGCTGCTGAGAACATAGAGGTAAAAATGAATAAAATAGCTGTACATTTTCCATTTTCTTGACCCAACTAGAATACCCATTATTTTCACTGTATTATAACTTAAATTAGTATTTACAGTTACATACCACCCAGCAATACAAAAGAGATAATAGGACTTCGTTTCACAGAATCACTTTACTGGAGGATAAGAGATATAAAACTATTGCTGGAAGTGTACAGTGTATTTTTGGGCAAGCTTCCAGCTAAAACCAAGTTGTACAGCACTAGAATGCTCTAGAATCTATCTAAATAAAAAAAAAAAGCAACACTAATACAGGTCAAAAAAAAAAAAAAAAGGTAGCAAGTAAATGCCTAATCATGATATCACAATAAGGGAATATCACTGGGAATAAAGAAAAGGTTTAGACAGGTATTATTTGTGATCATATCAGCAAATAGCTTATGAATAACTAAGTCTTAATGGCAGTCACAAGCATGTCACAGGCATTGTTATCATATAAATCATACAGTGTTACCAGCTATGCATGGATTTCTCAGACACTCTAATATCACTATTAAAATGCTGCTCAGTCTGTTATTAAACTATTTCACATAATTTATACCACCTAGAGACAAACTTTGATAAGCTTTTATTTTGACTTTCTAGTATCATGACTTAGTCTCAATGACAGGGTTAAATCAACAGGTAAAGAATATTAACAAACATCACTACCATTGAAAAACACATTTTAAACAAACATTATTTTTCAAGAAGAAATATTATTTTTCATTATGCTATAAAATTAGTGATGATAATTTAATTGTTGAATGATTAATAAAGACTAATTAATATAGTAAAACAAATTAATAATGATTAATGTAGTAAAATAAATGAAATGAAAATTGCTTTGCATTCTAATTGCAAAGTGCCCTACCTGTTTACTGCAGATACTGACTTCCCTAGCTAGCCACTTTATCCACCTATGCACTGTAGCCAGAGAGAGTTACAAACCACCCCCATCCTTTGGAAGCAAAGAAAATACTGACTCTGATATGGTACCACAGGAAATGAGGTTCTGCTGCCTTTAATTATCAACAGATGGGATCTCTTACCAGACTGATCATCCTTAATACACCTGTTTCTTATCTTCCTGAGTTTAGTAGCTCTTTGGTAATTTTACATCACCTAAAATCTGTTTCTTTAGCTTTGTGGTAAAAGGATGCTGTAAAAAATGCGGAAATTTCATCCCAATTTCCCACAGGCATTTAACAAGCACGTGCTTGTCTCCCTCTCATTCTCTCTCTCCTACACTCAATATTTAAAGTTATTCTGTCCTTTAAACAACAAATTGGTGAGCTACTGAGAAGAAAATATGTATCATTTTTAAATGTTTACCCCATGCCTGAATAAAAATAAAAGCTTTTTATTTTCTTTTCAGTATTCTGAAACATATCAACAAAGAAAATATTGTGGTCGTGTAGAAAGGGTCCTTTCTTCCTCCTCCCTGTTTTCTTCTGTCTCTTGCTGGCTATCTGTATAGCCTTTCAACTTTCCTCTGTCTTTGGGACTTTGAGATCACAAGAGCCAAACTTCATCCTTGAGCTGGCAGTGCTCTGCTGAACTCAATGAGGTGAAAATCACCTATTAAATGCCTTTACCAGTCTCTAACTGTACTGTTCCCTCTCCCAGGATCAGAGAAACAGGCCTCACTAATGTAAAATACAAACCTGTTAAGAACGCTCTCCGCATTGCTTATACATTTTTCCCCTTTCTTTCTGTAGCCTAGAGGGTTCTATAGCCCCCATTTGCTAACGCCAAATAGATACCTTTTAGGCCACCTACATCCTTTTTTCTCTTCTTTAGAAAGATCTCAGAATAAGCAGGGCTAGCTTTACTCCTTTAAACAAAAGGTGTTTGATATTTTCCTACTTTGATTATTTTGAAACATTAGGCAGTAAATATAAAAGCCCAAATCTCTTCCAGCTTACTCTAAAGCTATGGCTCTGTGTAGATGTTGAATCACTAGCTCCACAGCTTCTATACCAGAAATTTCTTTCCAAAGGTAAAGGCAACTGAATGTAGCAGGCAAGTTTGCCACAGTCCCTTATCTGCTATTACTATTTAGCAACTCACTGTTTACACAGCACAGTCTGGTTTCTCTTTGGAGGCAATATCACACAGTTGTCAGACAATGTAAATAGAAATAAAATTCCCTAAGAGGACTAAGCCAGGACCAACACTTTGTTTTTTATTATTTGACTAAATTAACCAATTCCTACTGTTTTGGATTTAATTTGTCTTATAATAATCTCCTTAAAAATTCATTCTTCCCACAAAGGTTGCTCACTAAGACCATACACAAGTCTGTTTCCTAAAGTAAAACAACTCCTAAGACTAATAACTGATAAGGTATCATATAATGTATTATCAGCTGCCACTCCCATTAATTTATATAGTACACAGTATTATCTTTTTTTTTTTTTTTTTTTTTGAATTTCCATTCAAAAACTCATTAGGTTCTCATGAAGTTCTCCTCGGCATCAAGAACTCATCAAGTTCTCCTTTGCAGTACACAGCTCCTGAGTTTTATATAAATGGATGTTACCTTTGAAAGCGACTCAACAATACCTTGAGGGTCTTTTTGTTAGATATCTTAGAAAAATTGGACCAAGTGGTAGGACTTGGTAGGTAGTAACTTTTGAAAAAGAACTTAGCCATTTAGGTCACTTAAAACATGAACATCACACCTATGGGAGTTTCCTAGATGTCTACTTCAGTTTATTAAGTGAGGAATTAAACAGCCTATTTGCATCTATCTACATCTGAATGTATATATATATTAAATCTAGTCACTAAGCCATGAAGCCTAAAATCCTTACAGATTTCCTTCTAGAGACCTAATTCTTCTCTTAAGACTTGGATTGGTTGATCTCTATTCCCATGAGTTCTTAGCAAATAATCATATAAAAGGAGTCACTAAAAACAAATCAGCTCCCTTAAAGCAATTAGATGTTACTCCCTTTGCCGTACCTGAACTCTCACTGGAAATAGCTCCCTACTGGTGATAATGGAGAATCTCTCCTTTTATCTTGAAAAATATCATAAATGAAAATGGTCAGAGATCTATTGCAAAAAAAAAACTACCCCCAAAAAGTTGACATATCCTCCCTGTGGTTTCATTTGTGTGTTTACAAATAATACAGCTTGCCTTTTCCTCTTAGGAGGTGACCATGGGACACTCCACAGGAGAGAAAAATGACTCCTTGAAGAGGAAAAGGGGTTTTATTTTTACTATGTGTTAATATGTTCTGTTTATGGCATGCACTTAACCATTTAAAGGCTGAAGAAGTAACAGCACAGAGCCAGAATACATTTCAGGAGTCTATTTCTAGCACATGGTAGAAGTTCACAGTTCAGCTTAAAAAAAAAAAAAAAAAGACAATACTTAGTTATTTCTAACTGTTCAACACAGACTTGTCCCTGCCTACTGAATTCCAAGGTAGGTCACTCCCAGCAGAGACTGAAGAAAAGTCCTGCTCAGAACTTCTATTGTGTCATTGTAAGGGATAATGGGAAGCCACTATTTTCTTTCTAATCTTCCTGTAACTAAAAATACCTTAAATCAAAATAATAGCTCAGACAGCTTTTTAAAACACTCTCTCTAAAGTGAAGCTTTTCTTGGCCAGTTGCTGATGTTATTTTGATTAGAAGAATGGCTTTTTATTTTCACCTTTTCCTACACTTGTTTGAACTGAAATGGGAAAAGAAAAAAAAAAGTCTTTCTTAAAACCCAGCTACAGCAGGAAACATTGTATAAACTTACTCTGAAACCTTTTGGAATTAACACATAAATTTCTACTAATCTCAAAGACTTGGGAATGGACTGCATTAGTTCCCTTTCTATAACGACACCTTTTAAAAATAAATGCATAAAATTACCTGTACCAAGTAGGTTTTTTTGGCCTCTTTTGAAATCAAGCAAAGCTTTTGCTCCATCTACTACCTTCTCCTCACATTTGGTATCATGACAAGAGTCATCATTACAGACGTGTCCTCAGGCAAGCCAATAGTGCTTGTTTTTGAATGAAACCCAAAATCTCCATCAAGGCCCCAGGCTTTTAAAATCAGATGTCCTTCAGTTGATTACTAAATGATACAAATGATCCAGTGAGCAGTCCTTACACTGTGTGCTATTAATTGCAAGTGCATTTCTTACAGGTATAAAGTGATACCCTCCCACCACAGTAAGTGGAATTGCACCTTTTCAAACCAGCAAATAATTTGACTCTGGTTGACTCTTCCTCTGTAGTCTGACTGCATAAAGTTGTTTGTTGTGTAAAAGAATCGTAAAAGAATCACTGTTCTTAATGAGTGCAAAAGAGAACGGAGATAGTAAGGAGGCATTTCAGTATTTCAGAAAAATAATGGCGTAGTTTAAAGCTATGGCATCAAATGTAATGGGCAAGGGATTTTAGCTCAACATAAACTTCAGTTACTCCTTCAGAAATATTAAACAATGCTCTCATTGTCAAATTTCAAGGCTCTTCAACCTCCAGACAAGCACTGAGCACCACAGGCCTCTCTTAGCCATCATTTCAGATGTATAGGTGCAACCTCAGCCATTAGTAAAAATCAACCCTTATGTGATTCATCTTTTACATAAAGCAAAGTATCTTTTGTGCCCAAAAGGGCTGGAAAACTGTGAACATAGCTGTGAACTTTGCAGTGCACTCCATAGGCATGGAAACAGAGAATGTAGAAGGCTCTGAACTTACTTTGACCAACACCATCATATGCAATACCACTCTTTCTCCAAAACACATCGCTGTTCTCAATCCCAGGAGCTTCAGTTCGATGCAGACAAGCACACGTTACTGCATTACAGCAGCAGGAGTTTTCTTTCTTTATCTGCTCCCTGCTGCTCTTCTCTATTAGCCTTGTTGCTCAAATAGCTCTGCTCTGTTAGGGCTGTGTTCGTGTCGACTTTCTCTCTCTGCTAGCTCTCTTCCTGAAGACAAGACCGGAGATTTTCAAGACTTCCAGTCTTCAAATCGCAGTATGTAGGAGGCGTGAGAAGAAGAAATAGTCGAGAGTTAGATTAACACAAAATGAGGAAAAAATGTGACTAGAAAATTGGCCAAATTGAAGACAAAAATCCACTTTATATGCTCATGTATCCCTTCTATTTAGAAGCTTGGTATTTTTTTTCAGCTGGTATACCAGCCCCAGTTTAGAAGTTGAATTCAGCCCAGTGAGCAGGAGCAATATGTTCAAGTTCTTTCAAGCAGCACTGAAAACTGACTCCCTCTCTCCCCTTCATTCTCCATTCAATACTCCTAACATACAGACCACACCTCAGCAGAACACATGGAAAATTAAGCTTTAACAACTTAATATGATTTCAGAAATGAAAGTTGCCAACCCATATCAATATGTCTGACAGAAAAACAAGGTTCCAGCTGTTTAAAGATTCAGAGGACTCAGACCCAGGATACTGCGTCTGTTTTAGTATAGGAAAGGCCTCAGCTATGGAAAAAAATCACATTTGAAGAACTTAAAATAAAGTCAGTTCATAGTCATGTAACTAAACTTCTTTATTCAGTAGAGTTCTGCAGTGACAAATGCAACTAGTTAGGAAGTTTTATATTTTGATGACTAGAGGTTGGTGTCACCTGGTTAGGAGAACAAGAGAAGTTGTGGGTAAGCAAGTTAACTACCCTGTTTTTGCTGAAAAGTTAAGCAGCCAAATAGTTAATAATATTGCTCTTCATCCTGTATTTATTCAATTTTGTTGTTAACACATCTGTCTCAAATGTCCATAACAAGCTATAATTCAGTTATTTGATCATGAGCAAGTTGCAAATATAGAAAAAAATATATTTTCACCATTTAAATTAGTGCCTCAGATATTAAAGATGAAATTTAAAAATACATATATCAAATATAAGAATATATATCAAGTGAAAGCCAGGCTTTTAAAGCTCAATAATGCAAAAAGAAATGGACAAGTCATAAAATATATCAGAGAC